GGGAGGGGGGGGGGGCTCTGGCTCAGGACCTCTGCCTCGTGAGACCGCGTGCAGCAGTGCGTCCTGCGGGGGAGGCCTCGCCTGCTCGAGACGGGCGCCCCCAAAACGGCCGAGATCTGCCCCATGGGGGGCAGGAGGGGGGCGGTGCGAGGGCCCGCGCCCATCGGCAAAGCAATGGACAAGAGAACGATCACCAGAGCGAATCTTGCTTGAGCGTCTTGGCTGCCACCGCCGCCTGCGGGATCGGCTTTCGGTGACTTCGGCAGGCGGGACGTGTGGATCTGCCCTGGGCCCGCAGGGCCCGAACGTGTCCGTATCCGCCGCCTGCCGAGGCCCCGGAAGGCCGATCCCCCAGGAGGGCCATGCCATCGCCAGCGCTGGCCGCGGGATCTCCAGCGCCCGCGGCCCGGATGGCGGGCTCGGCCTTCCGTTGCGCCTCCTGTTCGGCCCCGCGATCAAAATGTCCCCGGCGCGCAGCCGCAAAACGAGCAGCCTCGAACGCCTGCTGCGCGGACGCCAAAACGTAGCCACGGGGCGCTCGGACGCTCGCGTGGAGCATCTGGAGGCCACGCGCCGGGTGCAGGCGCTGAGGGCCAGCGTGCATCGCCACGGGAAGGGCCGCTCGATGGAAAGACGACCGGCCGAGGTGATCCAGTTTCCTCGCGCAGGTCCGCCTCCTTCCCTGTTCCTCCCGCCTCGGAGTACCTCCTCTTGGCTGATATGCCCCGGTGCGCAGCGCGCAACACGTATCGTATTAATACGGGGCCCAACACGTAGACTGAAAGCGTAGGGATGACGCGATACGTTCGCCAAAACGTGAGCCAACACGTTGAGCCAACACGCAACGTATTGGCACGAGCGTTTCGAGCACGGCGCGTGCTGCGTAGCAAAATAAGCCGTATCGAGGCAGCTAAGTTTGTTGGAGGTCGCTGGGGGCGGGGGCAGCCTTGTTTCCAGGGCCAAATCCAAGCACGCTTGGCCGACGCGCGTAATCCTCCAATAGTAACCCCTACGACCCCCATTGGCGAGAAGCTCTGATCTCACGCTTTGATCTTACCGCCGATTGGTGGACCGCTCAGGTCTGCTCTCACCCCGCGAGCACGAACTCTCCCCCCCCGTCGCCCCAGAGCACACAGATCGCGCTCGCTGCCCCTCCGCGAGCTCCAAGCCTCTCGCCCGATCCGCGACGTGGGCGGGGGGGTGGCGCCTGGGCGAGCGCGTCCTCGCTCTCCTGCGCCGCGCCCTGCGGGCCGCTCGGGGCGCGGCCGAGGCGAGATGGCTCAGCAACGCGCGCGGGCGCGCGAGACCCGACGGAGGCGCGCGGCGGGCCGGTGGCCCAGTCTCGCTGCAGCTGCTCTGTGAGGGAAAGGTGTGGGGGGTTGCAGCAGGAGGAGGAGCAGCAGCAGGAGAAGGACAAGAACGAGGAGGAGCAGGAGAACGCGGAGGAGGAGGAGGAGGAGGAGGAGGAACAGGAGGAGGAACAGGAGGAGGAGGAGGGGGCGGAGGAGGAGAACAAGGGGGCGCAGGAGGAGGAGGAGGAGGAGGAGGAGGAGGAGGAGGAAGATCTCTTCGACAAGAATGGCCTTCAACGGCGGCGAGGCCCGCGGAGACAAAAAAGAGCAGGAGGAGGCAGGGACCATTGCGCCCCCGGCAACCGCGGGTGCGGGAACTGGGGGTCCAGTTCGGAAAAAGAGCAGGCGTCGTCCCTCGAACGAGGGCGCCTACATAAGATGAAGTCCGTGCAGCAGAAGATGAACACAGAGAGCCCCGCCTGCTTGCGCACCAACCGAGCTTCCGTGAGAGGCTCACACGTGGTGCCAACAAGCGGGGACGGGCCCACCTGGGACCACCGACAGCGAACCAGGGGCATGCAAGCAGCGGCCCAACCATCGGTGACTGTGGGGCCTAAGCAGGCCGACCTCTCAGGGGCTCCGCCGCGAAGACGAGGGAGCTCCACGAGGCGCTCCAGCGCTGGCCGCGGGCGCAGGGCCGCTGGCGAGCTGGCGGAGCACCGCGGTCGAGAGGTTGTCGATGTCGCGCTGGAGGCAGAGCCGCTGCTTGAGGCACAGGGCGGACAAGGCCGCACGCTCCTCTGCGTCAGCCAGCGCAACAACGGGTGCGCCACGGCCAGCTCCAGCTTCCGCAGGCGGCGCGCCGCCAGCTCCAGCCAAGCCGCCCGCAGCAGCACGCCCCCGAGCACGACGTGGCTTGCGCGCAGGCGCTGCCTCGTCGGCCCAGCCGTCATCGATTACGATGTCGTCGCCGTTGCCGTTGACGCCATCGTTGTCGGGGGCCGCCGCAGCATCGGCAGGGGCAGCGGGTCCAGGGCCGAGAAGGATCGAGGATCGAATAGCGCGGTGGACCTTTGGTCCGCGTTTGTTTTGGGGGGGGCGCCCAGGGGCTCTAGACGCCACGGCTGGATTCCCGTCGAAATCCTAGTCAAAGCACGCCTTAGGACAGGTACAGGGACAGGCCTTGGAGGGGCGCGTGGAGGGCGGAAGAGGAATGTAAGACTCGACCTGGCTTGGCTCGCGCTGTGGCTCTGGGACGGGGGAGGGGGGCGAGGGCTGGGACGAGGAAGAAGGGGTAGTGCAGGGCCTTTGTGGCCACAGCCAGCTCCGGCCACGAGCAAGTTCCCCCTCCTGGACCCAGGGAGCGGCCAGCAAACCAGAGAGCCCTGCCTGAAGCCAAAATGGTCCACACGTCAACGTCTTGACAACACACTCGGAACATGGCCACAGGAATGCGTGTAAGGAAGATGATGTCCTTCGCCGATTGCCCAGGGTCCCATGGAGATGCCCCCATCTTGAAGGACATCTCGCATTGGAAACCCCGAACATGAAGATCAGATGGGTCCCCCATCCAAAGCCAGGGCCAGAGCTGTACAGTGGAGGCCAGTCCACAAGGAACCTTCCACAAGAAACCCAACCCTGAGACCCCAGGGCGTCCATCGATTTTCGGTGTGGGAACGTCACCATTTCCGTTAAAAAACAACAAAACCCAAGAAACCCATGTCATCCTGGATGCAAGCAGGGTGTTTCTTGGCACGGGCCCCCACTGTATGAGGAGAAGAAGGAGGAAGACGAGGAGGAGGAGGAGGAGGAGGAGGAGGAGGAGGAGGAGGGTAGGAGGGCGGATGAAGAGGAGAAAGCGCGACTCGACTCGACTCCGTACACCAGCTACTGGGGGTCGGGGCGGTTCTTCCCCCTTGACTCCTCCTCGTTCCTACTCGCTCCTCCTCGGTCCTCCTCCTCCTCCTCCTCCTCCTCCTCCTCCTCCTCCTCCTCCTCTTCCCCTCCTCTTCCTCCCTCCTCCTCGCTCCTCCACGTTCCACCTCCTTCTCGCTCCTCCTCGCTTCTCCTCGCTCCCCCTCCTCCTCCTCATCCCCCTCCTCCTCCTCCTCCTCCTCCTCCTCCTCCTCACTCCCTCGCCCTCGCATCTGCCTGGCTGCATGCGACCTGCGTTGACCGGGAACGATGCTGGCGCGCGTGCGCGGCGGCAAGAGAAACCGACGCCGCGCCCATCGAGCCCGCAGGGGGCATGCGATACGGCGTGCGATACGGCAGGGGCACGAAGGAACAGTGTGTTTGGGATTCAGGGCCCACTGGCCCAGGTCTAGGGCGACGAAATCTATACGTACACACTGCTCCCTGGCCACTCCAATGCTGAACCCAGCGGCGTATACGCCACGCTCTCCTGGCCTGGCCAGGAGGGCGTACGCAGAGCTCCTGGGTGCAGGGTGGGCCTGGCCAGGGAGCGGTGGACGTGTACAGATCTCGTCGCCAGAAGGTCAGCCCCTGCTCGCTCCAGATCCATGCAGCGAGCCCCCATTGACCACGAAGCGGCTCCCCACGACGGGTCGGCGAGGGGAGGAGAGGGGCTCGCCATCGCTCGGACGTCTACTCCCCGTGCGTTTCGAAGGTTTCGTGCGCGATCTTTTCGCAAGATGGGCCCAAAATGCTCATCGATGGTCCTCGCCGAGAAAAAAATGCGCACGTCCGAGCGATGCCAGGGAGGGGGGCCGGTCCCGCGGGGCCCCCAGGGCCCGGGTCGGCCAGAGGGCCCTGCAGGGCTGTCGCTGGCGGCCCAGGAGGGGCACCGCGGTCCCGACAGCAGCGAGGAGCCTCGGGGGCCCCTCCCCCCCCCTGGACCCCCCTTGTGTTGGCGCGCGCAGCGGGGTACAGTCGAGGCACTATCAGAAGGAACGCTAAATAAGGAACGGAGCCCCTTCTTGGCCCCAGAAGCGCCTAGGTGCACGAGGAGTGATCGAGGAGGAGCCATGGAAGAGCTTGAGGAACATCGAACCCCTTCCGCACCCGAGGCGTTCCTTATTTCAGCGTCTTGGCTGAAGGGGGAGGGGGGGGAACTTCTTTGGAGAAGGCTGCTTCTTAGAAGGCGCCGGCCTTACATCCAGTTGCCGACAATGCCCGCGCCTTCTGAGAGGCCGCCTCCTTCCAAGAAGCCTTCCTCTCTCCCCCTACCCCCCTCGTGGCCGACCTCTCTCGGGGAAACGCAAGACGCGAGCCTAGGGGGCTCGAATGTGCCTGACGGGGCCGTCCGAACAACGGCAGGCCCTGCTCTGAAATTTGGCGCGCCCCCCTCCCCCGCAAAATACCCGACGAGACCGAGGCCATCAAAGCTCACGCTGGGACCGCCATGATGAAGCGCCCGCACTTAGTGGGCCCTGGAAACGACAGGGCGTTTTTTTACCGGTTCCGTTTTGCCGTTTTTGGGCCGGTTCCGACGCCGTTGTTTTACCGGTTCCGTCGCCGTTTCTTGACCGGTTCCGGCTCCGGTTCCAATCCTGGAGCCGTTTTTTTGCCGTTTCCGGTCGCCGTTTTTTTGCCGTTTCCATTTTCAATAGCATTTTTGGGGAAACGGTGAAAAAACGGCCCTGCCGTTTCCTGGGCCCACAAGGCGCCCGCATACCCGAGCTCCCGCAATCTCGAATTTCACCTTGTTCCCCAGCCTTCCTTCGAGATATTTTTTAGGATGCCGGCTCACGCGGCGACCGGCAGATCCACCTCTAGGGCGACATCCGAACCCTACTGCCGCCCATCATCGACTCTCCTGGATAGATGGGAGGAGGGTGCAGGGTTCCGACCTCGCCACGTGGTCAACGAATTCCGAACCCTACCCCCGCCGCCCATCGAGTTGCCTGAATTCGGCGGCCAGCCCGGGGGGGAAGTGAGACGGGGCGGGCCTTCTCAGAAGGCTCGGAAGCCCCCCGTCCTCCTGAGAAGCCGTCCAACCCTGCCCCGAAGACACACAGCACCTCTCAGAAGGCCGGAGGCCGTCTCTGAGAAGTCCCGCCGCCTTCTGAGGAGGCCTTCTCCCTCTCGCTCCTCCGGCCCTCGCTCGCCGCCGATGCACGGCTGCTCGGCGCGAGCAGGGGGGTTCGGATCTCGCCGCCCAACCTCCACGTCGACGTCGGCCAACTCCAGCCCGAAGAGCGGGATCCACCTGGCTCGCGCGGGGGAGGGCGCGCCCGCGTGCCCGGCCCATGACTCCGCGGCACGGGCCTCCTCGCCGCGACGGCGGCGGGCGCCGGCGCTCCCGACACCACGCCGACCGCTCCATCGAACCAGCCTCAGGTCGGGCATGTCCTCCTACAGGCAGATTCTGGAGGAAACATCAAAAACAGTCAAACAACATCAAAAAAGATGTCAAGCCACACACAAACCCGATGCTTTATTACTATTCTGGAATCTTCCTCCTGTAGACGGACACGCCCGACTTACAACCAGCCTCGAACTTTAATCCACGCATGTCGCCGCGCCGCTCGGTCTCGAGGCGCCCCGCGGCAAGCCCACAGCAAAACCTGCGCCCCGCGCCCCGAGCAGACGAGCGCCGACATCGCGGCAGACCGACGGCGAGCCAACTGCCCCCGAGGCGGCGTTTGCCATGGTGCCCGAGGCGCCCGGCGCCCCTCCAAAACGGAAGGCCGCGCGCCCGAACAAACGGCGCGGCGACACATCCCAAATATTGACAAGACCGTCGGCGATACAATCTCAGGAATGCGTCCTCGGAAACGGAGAGAATCCTCAAGATCGGCATCGAGATCCGGTGATGCCAATCATTGGGATGGGGATATGCCTCAGGCTGGCAGCAATCTTTGAGGACACGGGAAGACAACTCCACGTTTGCTTTCCGTCGCGAGCTATGCCCCAGTTCTCGACCGACTTTGCTGAACGCGAAAGAGCCGACAAGGAAACTTGGGGAGCAGGAAAAGCGCCGTGTTCGGAGCTTGAGAGACGGGGGTCGATGCAACGGGGGTCAGCCAGGGCACCAGATCATGCAGGATCCTGCGAAGACCCCCTCTGGCTGGCCCAGGTTAGCGAGCTGCTCGTGGCCGCGAGGCGGCCACGCATATTGGCTGACCCGGGTTTGCGAAGACCTGCGTTGCACTTTTCCTGCGTTGCAGATCATCTGGTTTCCTGCTGACCCGGGTCTAGATGGACCCAGGTCAGAAGATCCCCGATGTGTCACGATCCCGCCCAACCGGCCCCCGCGCTGCCCACGATCCCCAGTGGCCCACCTGGGTGGGTGGTGCATTGTCGGGGCCTTTTCCTTGGCCCCGACAAGGAGACCTCCCCCGACCGCGGCAGCTGAATCCGCGGGTGGCCAGACCCGGTGCTTGGATCGGGCGTGGGGGGTGGTCTCTTTTCCAGGAACGAAGAGGAGAAACATAATAACAATAATAATATTATCCCAGTGCGACCCTACCTAGGAGTTGGAGCCTCTAGGAAAGCAACATTCGCAGCAGCAGTAGTGGATGCGGTGCTGCGCTATGCTATGCTATGCTCTGCTCTGCTCTGCTCTGCTCTGCTCTGCTCTGCTATGCTGCGCAATGCTATGCTGGGCTAGGCTAGGCTAGGCTAGGGTATGCTATGCTATGCTATGCTATCATAGACTATGCTATGCTGCGTTGTGCTATGCTAAGCAATGCTATGCTATGCTATGCTATGCTATGCTATGCTATGCTATGCTATGTTGCGCTATGCTATGGTATGCCATGATATGCTATGCTATGATATGCTGAACTATGCTATGCTATGATATGATATGCTATGCTATGCTTGGCTGTGTTATGCTATGATATGCTGTGCTAATGCTGAGCTGCGCTATGCTGCTCCGCGCTCAGCTAAGCTGAGGTAAGGCTAGGTTAAGCTACGCTAGGCTAAGCCATGCCAAGCTAAGCTAAGATAAGCTATTATGATATAAGCTAAGCTAGGCTAAGCTAAGCTCAGCTAAGCCTACCTAGGTTAGGGAAAGCAAAACTAAGCTAAGCTGAGATAAGCTAAGGTTAGCTAAGCTTAGCTAAGCTCAGCTGGGTGAGCCCAGGGGGCGCAACTGGGGGAACCGCGGGGCGGATCCTGGGGGAACCGCCCAGGGTGGGGCCCATTGCCCGCCCCTTTAAGCACACAGGGTAAGAACCCTTCTAGGCAGAGCCTAGGTAGGGAAATACTAATAATAACAGTAATACTAATAACAATAATAATAATAGCAATAACAAAACAAACAGCAATAACAAACAAAGAAAAAGGAAATCAAGCCCGCGGACCGCAGATCTCGGGTGTCGGCCCGTTCTGTCCAGCGTCCAGCACGTGGAGCACCACTGAGCGAAGAAAAGACAACGACAACCGTTGGGATGAGGAAGCTACCCACGTCGCCCCACCCCAGGGTCGACCCCGACCACCCCCCCCAGCGGCGATGACCTGCGCGCGGCTCTCGACAGAGCGGGCTTATCGTGTCTTCTTCGCTTCTGATTCCTCTGTCGCAGGACACCCTTGCGACAAACATGGAAGTTGTCGGCATGCTTGGTGAGGCGAGTTGTATATACTTTCGCTGCCAGCTCCCTGTGCGAATGGGGCCCAGCCACGCTTACGCTGCTGCTTACTGTAGGCGCCCGCTGGAGCGAACAAATCCTGCCCACCCCCCTGGACAGACAGACGCAACCAACAGGAGCTACCAGAAACAAACATTGCCTGGGCGAGCGGCCGAGGAGGAGTAGGCGGAGGGACCACCACGAATCGGGGATGAGTAATACTTAAAGTCGGCAATAGCCCTGGGCTCAGACAAGAGTAGAGAATAGCAATGATACGGATCCCCTTGGACACAAATCGGCCCCGCGGCTTCACAGAAATTGGATTCTATCCCTACAAAGTGGCCCTAACGGCCATGCCAATATATCCAATACAACACGATGCAATAAAGAAGAGGAGGAGCAGGAGGAGCAGAAACGACAGGGGCAGGAAGGGAAGGAACAACTGGAACAATGAGGCTCGCGCGTGCGCACTTCGCACGGGAGTCCCTCACGATCACCTCAAATATCCTAGCATCCGAGGTCGCGTGCGGTCCCAAGCGGAAAAGGCTCCGCTATTCGTGACATGTGCGGGGTCACCGCGGCGCGAACGGGGTGGAGTCGACGCTGAACCGGCCAGCACGTGCCCCGAACCCCATGACGCTCCACGTCGGTATGAAAATGTATACAAAATCAGCTCGAACAAGATTCGGAAAAAAGAACAGACCCCGAGGACCGGGAAAAGGGAACGGATGGGCCGGCATTTGTCCAGACAAACGCCGGCCTATCCGTCCCAAAGCGGAAGGCGTCTGCTGGTGCACCGACATGTTGTGCCCTACCCGCAGCCGTGGAATCCGCACGCGCCACAGGGAGGGGATGGGGGAGGGAAGGCAACGGACGAGGAGGAACCCTCGGGCCTTCTGATACGTTTCCTCCGTTTTCGGGGGGAGGCCCAGAAGACTTCTCGGAGGGCCACAGGACTCACGCGCCTTTTGAATGGGCCCGCCCCCTCTCACTTCTCCCCCGGGCGCGCAGCCGACAGGTGGCGACATCCGAACCCTACCCCCGCCAGCCCTCGATTTCCTTCAGTCGATGGGACGTGGGTGCACAATCGAAAGTGGGCAGTAAGGATGCGCGATACGGATGCGAGGGCCTTTGAAGGCCATAGCGAGGCTTGTCCAGCGGGGCTGGCCATCGAAAACGGGTTCGGATTCCGCCGCGTGTTCGACGAATTCCGAACCCGACCCCCCCCCCGCCCATCGAGTTACTTGAAGCAATGATCGGCGAGGGTAGGGTTCAGCCTAGCAGCCGAACGGAGGCGCGAAACCTGGCCCGAGAAGGCGCAAACGCAGTCGACAGCGCCAGGCTGGGAGGAGGGCCCCCAGGAGGTCTCTGGAGGCCTAGAATCAGAGATCCACAGGCAGGGGACCCTGGGGATCTTTGGAAAGGAAGGAAAAGAGGAAGGAGGAGGAGGAGGAAGAGTGAAGTGAATTGATGTGAAGTGAAGCTCGTGGAATCCAGCGCGGGAGGAGGAGGAGGTGAAGGCGCGAAGCGAGCGATCCGCATAAAGGGGGTGGTCGTCCACTTTCAGCTGTGAGACTAGAACGGCTCCCCTGCGTGAGTCGTATGCAGCGAGGACCCGACAGCCCTTCGACATCGTATCGAAGCCACTGCCAAGGCCTGCGCGGGGGAGGATCACGCGGCCTTCCCTCCACTCCCTCCCCCCCCCCCCGCCTCCACAACGGGCTAGCGTGCGGCCCGTTCGCAGGGGGCCATGTGTCACCAGTCAGTAGATCCCCGACGAAACCAAGGGGGCGGCACCGCTGGCACAGCGTTGCCAATGGCGCGTGCGAGCGGGCCTGCACAAGAAGGAGGGTTCCCTGAACCCCTTGAATTCGCGAGCCATCTATCTCTGTATCCTGCGGAGAAGAGGACCGACGACGAGAGACTAAGAGACGAAATGGGGGAACACTGGGCGAGAAGGCCTGCGCTCCGAGATGCCCTCGATCGTACGCGCGGCTCTCCTCCGCGCCAAACGCGTTCAATTCAACCCCTCCCACTCTGAAGAAGCGTAAATCTTCACGCGGTAGCAGTCGCGTGCTTGTCTCTCATGCTGGCAACAACTCGACTGCTTGCCCATTCCCAAAGAGCGAATTCCACTTCTGGCAAAGTGCAAACCGCACAGCTGGAAGCCAATTGGTGCCGTAATTCATCCGCAGAACAAAAAAGTGGCCAATAGTGTTCCACGCGATATCACATCTGCCGTCCAAAACTCATCCGTTGCGCTTCCGCGCCCGCTCTTCGATGACACACCCTTTAAACACTGTCTTTAACACCAATTGGTCAGAGGCCCCCCCCGTTGGGAAATTGTGCCGGTCCCTTTGCCTCAATGTCCTAGTCCTTCTCCACCCTCTCTGTAAAGCAAACAATAACATACTCCATCAAACTCTCCAGTGGACATCCCTCCTTCCGTGCACAGTGTTTGCAAAACGCCCTCAGTGATTCCTTCGTGGGTCGATGACAACGGAAGAATCCCAGAAGCGCTGCGATCTCAGGGTCATCATTGAGGAGCACGGGTTTCGGAGTTCGTCATCGGCAACAGTCGGTGGCCGCTGAACCTGGGAGCCTCCAACTTCCCAGACCTCCTTCGCTCTCAGAC